CGATGCCATGGCGCGCTTTAAAGATGATAATCAACACCTTGAAGCGCACCCGGAAGGCCACAGGCAGCCAGTGCAGCTCGCGTAGCAGCGGCGTTACATGGGAGCGACGAGTCACTCCCATCACCGCCCGCGCGGCTGCATTCTGGACTAACTGGAGCCTCCGAGTGCTCCTCAAGGGGAGCCCCATGTAGAGAGCATTACAGTAGTCCAGGCGGGAGGTGACAAGAGCATGGGTAACTTAGCGCAAGGCATCCCGGTCCAGAAAAGGCCGCAACTGGTAAACCAGGCGTACCCGGTAAAACGCCCCCCTGGCCACAGCCGTCAACTGGTCTTCCAGTGTCAGCCGTGGATCCAGGAGGACACCCAGATTGCGTACCCTCTCTGAGGGAGTCAGAGTTTCACCCCCTATAGTCAGCGACGGAGTCAGCTGACTATGCCTGGGAGCCGGCAACCATAGCCACTCAATCTTGGAAGGGTTGAGCCTGAGTCTGTTTCTTCCCATCCAGACCCGTACGGCCTCCAGATCAAGATCACTTCACGTGATCTTGATTCTATCTCTGTGTTAATGCAGCCTAGCACTGTGTTGGCCTTTTTGGCAGCTGCAGCACACTGCTGGCTCATATTTAAGTGAAGGGGAACTCATCAAATTTGCAGATGACACCATACTGGCAGGAGTAGCCAACACTCCAGAAAACAAACTCAGCATCCAAAAAGATCTTGACAAACTTGAACAATGGCCCTATCCAACAAAATGAGTTTCAATGTGGAGAAAAGCAAAGTTTTACATTTAGGCAGGAAAAATCAAAGATACAAGTACAGATTGGGCGAGACCTGGCTTAAAAACAGTAACTGTGAGAGGGACTTTGGAGTCCTAGTGGATGATCACTTGATTATGAGCCAGCATGGGTTGTATAAACAGAGGCATAGAATCAAGATTACGTGAAGTATTAGTACCGCTTTATAAAACCCTAGTAAGACCACACCTGGACTACTTCAGCCAATTTTGGTCACCTTATCACAAAAAGATTTGAGAGTTTGGAAAAAATTCAGAGAAGAGCAACTAAGATGATCAAAGGCCTGGAGACTAAAACATACGAAGAACAGCTGCAGGAGTTGGGTTTGGCTAGTCTAAAAAAAAGAAGAAATGGACGACATGATAGCAGTATTCCAGTATTTGAGGGGCTGCCACAAGGAAGAGTGGATCACGTTATTCTCCAAAGCACCAGAGAGCAGGACAAGAAACAGTGGTTGGAAACTGAACAAAGAGAAAAGCAACCTAGAATTAAGGAGAAACTTCCTGACAGTGAGGACAATTAAGCAGTGGAACAACTTGCCTTCAGAAATCGTGGGCGCTCTATCACTGGAGATTTTTAAGAAGAGACTAGACAGTCACTTTTCTGAGATGTTACAGGTTCTCCTGCTTGAGCAGGGGGCTGGACTAGAACACCTCCAAGGTCCCTTCCAGCTCTATTCTATTCTAAACTGTTTTTGTCCATGCATACGAATACATGTATTAATCTAAATAACTACCATAGCTTTGTGCAGAGGTTGGCACACAGATTGTGGAAAATTGCATCCCATTTTTTGTATTAAATTGTGATGGGGCAAAAGAAGTAGGAGATGAACCACCTTTGGTGGAAAATAAAATAATAAAAAAAATGGAATGCTCTCGAGAGAACTGAATTTTTCCTGTGCATTTTTTGATTAATGGCAATAGAGAATTGTACATTCAGTTTGGTTACACTGATTTAAATCTTGTTTATGCACCCTAAATTTGTGCATTATGATGCCCAGTGAATAACTAAGCTTATTTAATGAAAAGTAAACCATAATTGTTTGTTAGAACCCTAGCATATTATTGACTCATATAATAGTTCAAAATGTATAATTTCATCTCAATATTCATTATAAAATAATTTAAAAAGCATGTATATAACTCCTTTCAGATATTTTGTGTATGTGCACATAGTACACAGAAAAAGTTATATCACAGTGGCTGGCTCTTCTAATGTATTTAGGATGATCACTTTATTGTCAGAGAGGAACACTCTTCTGACTCAGATTATGCAAATGTGTTGAAATACTGTAAGCACTTTCAAATATGAATTGAAGGAAAATATCTTTCTCTCTCTCTCTCTAAAACACAAACACACACACACACACACACACACACGCCTGTTAAAGCAGTCATGTCTTTTTTTTCAGATTGACATGGCTGCTCCCTAAACTGCTTTCAGTTACCCTGAATGTATGAACAGCCACTTGCCCTTGCCTTTTCCTACCATGGGTTATGAAACACTTCTTTTGAAGGATCTGCCCAACCCTTACATTATAAGCCAAGGGTTCTTATTTGCATACTCAGAAACATGCTTTTCCAAACACTTGATATTTCCCATGTAAGGAGTATATTAAAATCAGTCTATAAATATTATAGTTGAAGATGATATTTATTAAAGAACACATCTGAAAAGGTATTATTATATGCTTTGGATTGGAATGATAAAAATTCCATCTTAGTTTTTTTAAGAACTTCTCAATTCTTTTGCTAACTACTATGAGAATTAAAAAAAAACTTGTTTATTGTAGGGTCATTTTTAATAATTGTTAGTTAAGCTACAAAAGTGTAAATAAAGTCCCTTATAAGAAATAAGAAACTTATTTCTTAGTTGTTTTTTGGCAGGCAATATGAAAATTGCATTTAAAAAGTAAAATTTGTACAAGACTTTATTGTAAATCAGTCTGTTTGGGAATTGAGAACCAAATCTGGCAGATTATAAGAAATTTCTTTATAAAATGTAATAGCAGGGAGCGTAATTTAACATTATCTTCTAATTAAGCCATATTAAAACCACTCCGATTACTAGATTTCTCCAATAAATCAAATCTGTATCTAGAAATACAATACTTTGTGGTTTTAAGGCAATCTTCCCTAAACTAATGAACCCAAATGTATTGAGATAGAAACTTTTTTCTACAGAATGCTGTTGGAAGGAGGTGTGCATACAGAAGGGCAAGAGAAAGTACAGATTTTATGATGTTGTTAGGCAAGTGACATTCATTATGTAATTTGCATCAGTATAATTCATGTCATTGGCACAATAATGGGTGTGATGTCAGCGTGCCTTAGAGTAGACACCTGCATCTGGAAGCTGCTGTCCTTGTATATTAAGAGTTGCCAGGTAAAAGCAATCTGATTTAAAGCTAATAATTTTAAGTCACTACTGTTTCATTCTAATACTTCAGTTTCAATATTGTACTCCAGAATAAAATTTTAAGTTTCAGAAAAGGTAGATGTTGTAATTGCTCATATTTTTTAGATTGAATGAAAGGGGACACCATAACTTATTATAGCAGGAAAAGAGTTCCCATACAGCAGGATTTGCAAATTGTTAGCCCTGAGCTCTTCCAGTTGTGATCACTAAAAACAGGCAATAGGAAACACTTAAAATGAAATCAAAAAGAAGAAAAGTCTAACTACTATAAATCCAGGGAAAAACAGAGAATGACAACCCCCCCACATTGTTCAATTGTATACAGACAAAAATAAAGTATATTGGGGCATTCTGACAAATGCTACAAGCATTCAAACATTTTGTTTTTATGCAACAACTGTGTAGGAGGAACACTCAATTATGTAAGTTCCCCCTATCCTCCCATAAACTCTTTTAGGCTCTCTGTGAACACAAAGTCTAACTGGCTTATATTGTAGATTTCAACTGTAAATGGCTTCAATATTTAATTTTAAAACTGTTAGCCTAATATGGCTATATGTTGATCATTACGACAATGGCTTGAAAGCAAAATAAAAATGACCATGAATATAGTTCCAAATGACACAAAATTGTAGTGGTATTTAAGGTGCTTTCTTTTTCTTTTTTAAGGAGTTATCACTTTCCATGGTTAGTTCATTGTTCTTACACGCTCTTTCTTGTCTTGTCATGTCATTCTTTCATATATAGTCTATCAAGAGAACGTTACTTCAAATACAGAGCTGAGTAAATTATTATATAAAAACATTTGGAAACAAGGAAATGATACTGCTCTGTTATTATTGTGTTTTGAAAATTGTATTAAATGCTTAAGCATAATGATATATCAGTTATTTTTGTTTCTTTTTCTTTGAATGCTGTCAACGCACAATCAAATTATAGTAAAAAGATATTGTTCCACAATGGGATTTTCAGCTTCATTGTGTACTGCTGCTTTGTAAAATTGAGATTTAATTTATGATCCCATTTGACCATATTCTGCAGAAAGCTGCCACATTTTCTTGAGTTGGGTCTAATGCTTGCTGTACTCCAAGGAATAAGTTGATAAATATTTATACAGCAGTTGTACATACTTGTGGAAGTATACAAGTGCAGGACTGGGAGTTATCAAGTCATATATTTTAATTTGCAACTGCCAGATGATGTGGCAGTAGTAGTAGCAGAAGAAGAAGAAGAAGAAGAAGCAACAGAAGCAGAAGTAGTGGCAGTTGTGGCTTGACTACCAACATAGAGTGGGTCCAAACATGCCACTTTAGCTGCAAAGAATGAGTGGATGCAATGCAGAACTGCAAATAAATTTGAAAATTCCAATTCCTGAAAGTGAAAGCAAAATGATCAGATATGAGAGACGAACCAATTTATTTATCATATATTGTGATAAAATTACCAAGTAGCAGTTGCAGAGTCATAAACACAAGGCTTAGGAAAATCAAATATACTCATAATACACCCAGTTCTATTATTCCCTCTGAAAACTAAATTGTTTTGTCTTACTACAAAATTACTTTCTTTATATCCAGGTTACTAAACTCACAGTTTTTATAGTTTTAAAATATAAATTTGTAACTATAATTATTTTACATTTCCAAATAATTGGGGAAAGATAGTTAAATAAAAAAGTACTATGTGAGGGGTATAATCCTTAAATAATCTAAAATAAATTTTAGTTCACATACTTTTGTATTTCATTTTTTATTAATCTTTTAGAAACTTAGAACATTTCTGATCATAAAATTGTAACAAACGTTAAAATCTGTGTGTTCAAGACTTTGTATGTCAGAAGTACAAAATATCAGAATATTGTATATAAAGAGCTTTTTTCCACATTTCTTTGCCAGGCTATTCCTCAAGCACATCCCTATTTTGGTCATTACAAGTCAAAACAGGAACCCTTACAATAGGGTCTTCAAACTTGGCCCTTTTATGACTTGTGGACTTCAACTCCTAGAATTCCTCAGCATGGCTGGCTGAGGAATTCTGGGAGTTGAAGTCCACAAGTCATAAAAGGGCCAAGTTTGAAGACCCCTGCCCTACAACATAACCCACTGAGACATTTCTCAGTATTACAAACTGCAAATTACTCATTTTTGAAATATAGATTTTATCCTATGTATCTCTACTGAACAGGAAAAATGAGGAAAAAATAAAATTGAGCTCTATGGTATTCTTCCACCAAGCCGCCAATCTCCTACTTTACAGCAGCAGCAATTACTACCTCTATGATGTGATGACACAATGAATGTACCATCACTGGCCCCTATCAGATTCCTTCCCACAGATTCCTTCCCACAGACCGGTACGCTCCCACAGAGTGGGTCTCCTCAGGGTGCCGTCGGCCAAGCAGTGTCGGCTGGCGACCCCCAGGGGGAGGGCCTTCTCTGTGGGTGCCCCTACCCTCTGGAATGAACTACCCCCCGAGATCCGGATAATTCCGGATCTCCTTACCTTCCGTCGCGCCCTCAAGACATGGCTTTTCCAGCAAGCGGACCTGACCTAGGGTGGATTTTATATTGGGTTTTAAATATTCGGAAGACGCAACATTAAATTCGGTTTAATTCGGTTTTAAGGGGGGGATTGTATATTTTTTGTTCTGGTTTTAAATATGTTGTGCGCCGCCCTGAGTCCCGGTTGGGAGAAGGGCGGCATATAAATTAAATTAAATAAATAAATAAATTAAATAAATAAATCAGTCTGATATTTTAAAAGAGAAACGAGTGATTTTTCTACTTTTTTTTGGTCTGCTATTCCTACTTTACTCTGTGGCTAGCTAACTCAAAGCTAACCTTTGAGTTAGCTTTCACTCCCAGTGACAGTATGGTCAAGTCCCTGCAGTTTTCTTGGAAACATTTTTGAAAGTGCCTCCTTCCTAGGGCTGAGAAAGTGATTGCCCAAAATCATGCAGCAGGCTTCAGGCTGAATATAGGAGTAGAACTCATGGTTCACTAGTTACTAGCCTGATGCTTTAACCACTACACCAAGCTGTTTTTTCTTCTCTTAGTTAGCCACAGTCATACTGCTGTGCCAGTTCTGAACTCAGCACACAATGCTCTGGCTATGCCAATTCTGAATTCAGACAAATTGGTACATCCTGTTATTTAGTTACCAATAATTTAATAATGGAAAAGGAATTGTGTTCTTGTCTTTACCTTTGCCTCAATCTGCTTAGTGTCAGGATTTTGAAATAAAAATTTAATTTTGCTCTTGCCATCATCTGAAGACCCCTTAAGCTGGGAAAATTTGTACCGCCATAGTACAGCCTAGAGGAAACAAACAACAAAAACACATATATACATTAATGTACAAAACTGCTGCAGAAGAAAATGCATATCTGGGAAATTTTCAATCTATTAATGATATCAATATTAGCAAATATATTTTTCTCTTATCTGAAATGAAATTTTTAACTTCAGTGATCCTATTTAATAACAAAAGAGAGATATCAGGAAGAAAAAAATAAATTCTTTATTCACATTTTGTTAAATGAATGGCCAGTGTAGTAATCTGGTTCTATTTTCTGGTCATCTTTATTACTAAAACAAGGTATCAGTTTCCCATTGTGCAGTCAGTGATTTAGTAACTACTGCCATTTGTATCTGTTGGCAATATAAACTGGGATTACAGGAATGCCATTTAGAGGCAATTTGAAGATATACTAAGAAAACTGCAAGAGACGCTGCTTGTTACTAATCAAGGGAAATTTTGAATGAGCACTAGATGTATAGATCATTTGAAACTAAAATATCATCTATAATGTAAATCTGTACCATGGAACAATTCATCTTTTCTTTTAAACCAAGAATGATGAAGTACTATAAGCTCAACTTACCAAACACGTCTTGGATATCCTCAGATATTTACAACTAGATATGCACAGAGTTCTCAATATGCTAAAGTCAGAGTGGGACTTATCATGTGATCCTGTTTCATAGTGCATGTGAATTCAATTTATACGGGTTGAATATTATTCTCATATGACATAGCTCTGGAATCCTTCTCCATATATTATCATACATTAAGCATAGTTTTAGCTTAATACTCCATTTTTTAATTGGGGGTATATTTTGGAAGTGTTCTGTATCTCTGTTCAATTTGGTTGATGTCATACAATCACAAAGTAGTGAATCTCCTTAAGGGACACAACATAAGAGAAACCATTGATTGACGGGGCTTGGTCCTGTCTTGGAAAACTACAGATTAAGAGTCTTAAACACAGAGAAAACTCTCCTGTTAACTAGACATATAATCTTTTATGTAGTATACTAGCATCTCACACCAGGTTGGGAATTGGTTTTAAGATTTTTGGAATATAATTACCAAAGTTACAGTTTCCTTTACATAAGATAAGTTTCAAAGAAATTAGAAAACTGTTTTGTTTTGAGATTAAAAAGTATTTGAGGAGGTGAAATAGTTTGTTCGGGGGGGGAGGTGTTAAACAATACTTACTATTGTTCTAATTAGGGTCTATGGTTGATTATAATACATATTAAGAATATATCTGCTTCTGAAGAAAGGTGAAACAAAATTTAGCATACAACAAAAGTAAAACAGGTATTGTATGTACATTAATATGGGAAAATAGTAATCAAAATGGTATTATTTTCCTCATAGGTAATGACAGATATTGAAAATGGAAAATATAACTTAGCTATAAAAACACATGCTGATACAATCTATTTTGGCCAATATTCTGCCTGTAATAATATAAAAATGAAACCTTAGAGGCAGGATAAGATACAGATATCTATCTGCTGGTGTTAATCCTTGAGCTAATATCCTATTTCTTCTCTTCCTCTCATCTCCCCTCCCTCCCTCCTTCACTCCCTCCCTCTCTCCTCATCTATCTATCTATCTATCTATCTATCTATCTATCTATCTATCTATCTATCTATCTATCTATCTATCTATCTATCTATCTATCTATCTATCCCCCCCAAGCATATCAAGAAAACAATTACATGAAGAAATAATACAAAGAAAGGGCGATTATGTACACAAACATATATATGGACAAATTTTATGGTATAGAAACTCTTTCCATATGCAAGGACAAATTCTATGCTATAGAACAGAATTCCAACCTTTCCAGCTTTGCAGACCAGTGGGAAGGGAGAGGGGATGGTTCTGCCTGCTGCACACACAAATAGAGCATGCGTGCCCACACTTGCCTGCTACTCACATGAGTGGGGATGTATGTGCGCGCACACTCCAGCCACTGCTGCAGTCTGGTTCCGAAAGGCTCAAGGCCCTGTAGTAGGCTGTGGCCCAGGGGTTCGGGACCCCTGCTATAGAAATTCTCTACCATACGTTGTATATATATATATTATCCACATATACATAAAAACAGTTCTGACTTTGGTTATTCGGTTACACCTGTTTTTTGCTATTGGTGGCACCTATGGAGATCCCTCTGTTCAGATGGGATTTGGTGGTTAAAAATGTTGGTCTCAGTTACAGGAATATCACATAACACACACATCCCAAAACCATGAGAGATAAGACTAAAGAAATAGTAGTATGAGCAATCTGGGGGCGTTCAACATATGTGAGTTGAGGAAAATTTGGAAATATCTGAAAATCTTCGGAAGTAAATTCTTGGAAATGAACACGTCATTTCAATCAAACCAGCAGAATATGTGAATTGTATAAATGTTGGCATGTATTAGATTTCTACTAGTTTTAAAATAAGTAGTTGTCTTTAAATTATAATTATAAATCAACATTAATTAGGTGATATTAAATCAGCTGATGTTTCAGAAGGGTTTTTTGAGAAAGAACACTGATGCCTTCTCTATAGTTTAATATTCCTTTATTAAAACTAAGGGGCAATACTGCTCCATTAAACTGAAAAGGGAGAGACAGAAATAACTTGAAGAGCAAATGTCAAAAGATGGGATGGTGAAAAGTACATCCATTAAAGAATGTTCCTTGCTCCAGTGATCCTATGGAAATTACAGCTTTCATTTCCAGTTTAGCACCACCTGACTTGCTGATATTATGTTTTCTGCTGCTGTTTTTTTTGCTTTGAGGTAGAGATGGGAAATGTGTCTGGTTATGTACAGTACAACTTTCAACAAACCTCACTATTGATTCTGGTGGCTAGTGATTAAGGCAGCTTGTAGCTGAGTGACATGTGGGAGAAAAATTGCTTCCCTGCATTTAGTAGGCTTGTGTATGACTAAGTGTATGACTAAGGAATTATCTTTAAGCAACTGCTCAACAGCATTCACTTGCCTTGGGCAACCCTTTGGTAACTGATCTGTTGCAACCAAAAGTCCCTGAATGTATAAAAGGAATAAAAATGGCCAAGATGGGCACAGGATCCAAATAAGGGGAAGGAATGTACATACACAATGCTGGTCACAAAATGTTTATATAGACTTTTAGCAAACTTGGAGCTGGACTAGAGTGGCAGCAAATATGCAATTTGACTAAGTTCCCCAGCGTTAGGAATAAGACGCTGGCAAGTTATACTTTTCTGTGTATGCTGGTGGATATTCTTATGCATTGTTTATACATATAAGAAGCATGGAAACCAGAAGATTATACTAACATAAAGCACATTCTAAATCTAAAAGGATCTGCAACTATTCAGATTTTAAGATTTTCACAAAAGGTATTTCAGGGTGGTTCATTATGGAGATTGTAAAATCTTTGCTTCAAAAAACTTCACCTACTGCTTATTCTGATATCTTTACGATGCCAACTGACAATTTCTTTCTTTTCTTTTTTTAAAGAAAGGGCTTTAAATTTGAATGTTTTAAACAGCAGATTATGCATTTTCACAACTTTAAAAAAATGACTTTGTTTTATACCTTGCTTACATAAAATGCATAGGAACCATACTTGAAGAATATAGTGACTTAAAATAAATGAAGTAAACCCACTTAACATTCATGAATAAATGCAGACTGCCTGAAGTAAGAAGTCAAAATAAATAAACAAAACACAAAAGTGCTATAATTGCATAACTGCGCAAGATTGGCTAACTTGACTCTATAATAGCATGTAGAGATTGTGTTTATTGATTTATTTGATTTACAGTATATCCTATCTTTACTTTGTACGACTCCAGGCAGTGTATAACACTTCCTCCTATTCTTTTCCCCACATTAACCCATGAGATGGGTTGGGTTGAGAGAGAATAGCTGGCCCAAAGTCATTTAGTGGCTTCTGTGCCTAAGGGACGCACATAATTCTTGGTCTCCAGACTTCTACTCTAGCACCTTAATCACTACTCCATGTGACTCCACATATAAATGCAGCCTAACAAACTCTCCAGTCTTTCTATTATCAGACTGATTTAATGTATCAAGTGTGGCAAATGTTAAGTATGGTAGCAGATAACCTTCCCTTCTAAACAAATTACATTGTAAGAGGGGCTATCATTCAGGAGGCCAGACCCCACTGAATGAAGTAGAAACAAGTTTGTCCATTGTGGTGTAGAAAAAGAATGAACAATGGAAATAGCTTCTTCTGCATCCCGTTTAATCAGGTAAGACACTACTGTTCTTGCAAGGCATTTTTTTCTTTTTTCTTTTTTGTTTTATTTTTACTACAAGAATTCCCATGACAAGTTCCAAAAGAACCCCATTCTTATTTTTCTTTTTAATTTATCAAATGGGTTTCCTCAGTATGAAAACATTTAAAAAGAAAAAAGTAGTTTCAATCATGTTTATTATAAAGCCTTTCTATTTAGCTATGCCTTGAATTACCATCTTTGCATCAGCCACACTTCCTGCAATTTTATACTCATCCTGAATAAAAATAGCCTGCAGTATGCTGGATGCTAGGTTTGGCATGGCGAGAAGCTGTAATTATTTCTAGGGCCCTTTTCCTTGCTTGGCACACATATTATTTAATTTTAATTGGAAGCTGCACAATTAGCTTCAATGCCTATTAATAAGACTCAGTTTCAGAAAACATGGAAGTGCTAAAGCTATTTGAATTCTAGAGGCAGCAACACTGAGAAAATAAGACCCATTTAGTCCAGTAATATTTTAGCAGTGGACAGCCAAATATATTGAAGAGTCCCAAAAATACATTATAAACTCATTGATTACGAAGTGATCTAATTAAATCTTTATGTTTCAAATAGGGCAAATTACCTTTGCTCAAATCTTAATTATATGATAATGTTAATATGTAATGGAAAATTATCCTTGAGGAGTTAAATTTGTCTAAAAATATTAATTAGAAGCAAAATTTAAAAGTTCATGAATATTAAAAATATTATCTTTCTTCTGAATTAAAAATTATT